ATTGCGGGAAATTCAATTTTTATTTTGCTCTCTAAAAACTTTTTCCTCAGTTATACAGCACCCTTACCAAATTTTCGTACGTCCCGGGGTGTTCCTGCCCCGTCCAGTCCAGCCTTTTGGGCAGCAGCTGAGGTGGAAAAACAGTGTGGACCGTGATCATCCAGTTTATAGACGTTACAGGTGATGTTTTAAAACAGTAAATGGTAAATCAGAGTCAAAGCAACATCACAAAGTACAGTGCAGAGAGAAGCATCTCTCTCGTGCTGCTGACTGCTTACCTCCTTCTCCTCCACCTCCCTTATCAGGGTCTGAAAATAGCATAAAAATACAGAATTACACCTCGTGACAATTGCCGACATATTATAAATTCTCCTAAAATGCGAAAACACCAACCTCGGCTGCTTTTTGACACGGTCCAGCTTCTAGAAATCGGGCTATTAGGAAGTACAGTTCTGGTATGGTTGGAGGGGGAGAAGAGGACGGGAGCTGCGTTAGAAGAGGGCACCGAGGAAATTGGGGGGATATTACAACGACCGTGACATAGTTTCCGATCTCCTTTACTCACCAGAAGTCAACTGCGCGATGTGTGTACTGTCTGAAGCCATTTTGGTGTTGTTTGCCAGGGCAGCGCCAGAGCCTGTGTGGTGGGTCTAGGTGGCTGCCCTGTAGCTGTCACTGTTTATCCACCAGGAAGAGGCTGCCTCCATTCAGCTTCGCTCGCACGAAGTCCCGGCTGCGGGAGTATACCTCCGCGGAGCGATAATTAGTGCGCGCTGAAGGCTTCACCCCGCCAAACACCGCCTTCCTTTAACAAAGACCGAATGGCTAAATTGTGGCTGTACTGAGCGCCGGCTGGGGCGAATTTCACTTACGACCGGTTTGCCGTGGAGGCATGTTTGTTTTAATCCCCCTCCCCCTCAAAGGAAAAAGCGCAAGCCCTCTGCGGAAGAATACAGGCGCTGTGGCTCATGTACGCCGCCGTCGAGGGGAGGTAGAAATGGCAGCCTGCTAAAGGAGAGGACACATTGCTGCAGAATGGCTGTTATTCTGTAACTAGACGGCATTTATCACATTTTTATTCATTAGAGTCCATTCCTCTGTCATTTAGTGTCTATTGCGGATTACCACAGCCTAATTCTTGCCATATTTATTTTCTGTATATTCGTAGCTGGCGGGTTCAGAACATGGCTCCCGTGTTTGAGAGGGATTTACAGGCGAGCAAACGTTTCAGCTTAGTTTATCATTATTTTTTTTTTTATTATCAAACACCACAGCTTGCCTGCTCTCTTATCAGCTCTCCGTGTTCTTGCTGCTGGTCTCGCTTGTCGTAACTTTGTCGCTATTGTGTAATAAGATGTCCTAGCTAACACACCCACTCTCTCAGGGAGCCGTTTGGTGGGGAAGTCGTCCATTTCTCTTCCAAATACTACCAGGCAATAAAATGGGGGAAGGGTTGGAGAAGGGGAATGCAGCTTAATGAATGAAACCCCGTGAGTTACAGCAATTTAATGGCAACCGAGACACTGAGACAAGGCACACACATCAAGGGGTATTATCAAGGAAATGCACGACAGGATGCCTCGGTGACAGCTGTGAATGAAAAAAAAAGGAACAGCAACTCTTTGGTGTTAATTTTTACTTTTTAAAGTAAACTCACAATAATATGTGTGCAAGGGACGTGCATTATAGTTTTATTAAAAGCCACGTCACCAATGACAAACAACCCCTCCTGGTCTAATCTTATTTCCCACATTTAATGTTTACTGCTGCAAGTAAGACACAAATGAAAGTGAAGGTAAATACACACCACACGTGTTTCAGATCATTTTACAACAGTTTGGATTTTTCTTTTTCGAAATATTTTGCCACATATCTTCTGTTTTTTTTTCTCTTTTCACTCATATCTATAGCCTACATGTGTGAAGTTGCCTATGTGGTACAATTGAGCTAAATTGAAATATTCACACCCACTTACAGTTGCATATAATTCAGTCTACCTGCACAAATGATTAACACTAGTACAGAAACATATCACCTCTACATTTTAATTTCTTCTTTATAAACTATTTCAAATCTAACACATCAACAGTGCATCTGGGAAGATGCTATAAGGCTTTGTGCTTCTAAGAGTCAATTTAATTTTTTTGTCTATTTTAAACAGAGTAATGCCATTCTATTTGTAAAACTAACAAGGTGTAACTCAAATAAAATCAAGTGTAACGCACACAAATTCGGTCTGCATCGACACTTTCCACAACTTTGTCATTTATGTTGCATCGTTTGGCAATTATGGGTTCATTTTGTCAACGTTAAACACAAATAATACAACATTTATAGGCTGCCAGATGGACAGGAACTCAACAGAGAGTGTTCTCATCACCAGTGGCTACACCACCTACCATTATTCCATGTCAAAAGCATTCTGGCAGATAGGTGGGTGGACGATTACTCTGAGAGGAACAAGCAATATTTGAGCTTTTCAAAAATCCACTTTAGTATTCTGACCCTCCCCTGACAGAGTTTTCGATCTTCTCTTCCAAATGTGCGCATCGTATCAGGCCAGATTAAACTGTCCATCCGTGGACTTCACTGATTGGGTGTAATTTGACCAACAAATTCTGTATATATTTTTTAAAGCACAGAAAAAAAGTTAAAATAATACTTAAAATATTTAGATGATCAGTTATGGGTTTTTCAGCCTAATCATTAACTTGTATTTTACCGGTTGACCTGAACCCTTATGACTAAGTTTATTGTGTGGGCTGACACCACCACAAGGAGGCAACCTCACCATGTGTCACTTTACGGGCCAAAGAGGAGTCAAAGGTTATGAAAAGATGCAATCAGTTACAGATTGTCTTTTACTATAAATAGCTCACTGATAAATACTGATCACATTAAAAAATAGATCTGAAATGGTTTGAGGTTATCTTGACAACAGTCCACACAGAGATACTTGTTTATCCACACCCTTTACTAAACTTTGCCAGATAGCTTAAAAATCCTGTGAGGTGTGGAAAATTACTTGGCTTCAACACTCTTTCCCTGCTAGAGACAATCATCAGACAATCAGGACTCTGATGTCTTCACTAGCTAGAAAATAGAAGTTTCAGCTAAGTACTTTTGCAGCCACGTAACCTTTCTCATATCTTTAGTCTGGATTCAGTGGTCTGCTCTGTGGGTTAATACAATGGCTCTTTTTTAAGTGTCATGATCAAGGTTAAGTAAAACTAGGTGTGATAAAACATTTTAGTTAACCCCAATGAAAATAATTAAAAATAATAAAAAAAAAAACGTGAAAATAAATATTATAGTGGTCAAATCTTTCACTACTTTTGTTGAGACTTGTCATGTTTACAATACTGTGACTCTGCTACGTTCACAGAGGGTTGTGTTTGCATTGCTACACTTTTTCTGAATTTCTGAAATTGTCTCACTTTCAAATTCCCTGCATATTTGAGTAAATAAAGATGCTACAGCTGACAATGAAACTAATAAAACCACCTGAAACATGAGTCAAAAAAAGGGTAAATAAACAATTTAAAAGTAATAACAAAATATAAAACTAGATCACTAAGGGTGGTTGAGTGGTTTGCACCATAACCTTGCATCTAGAAGCTCCTGGGCTGATGTGCCCTGCTTTTGGCCCCATGACAGCTGGGATACATTGAAAATAAAATTCTGGTCAAAATGCTTTAACTAATTTAATCACATGTAAATTATCCACATAACTTTATATAATGTAAAATGATAAATTAATCAAATCTGCTCAAAAGAGATTTACTTGATTGGTGTACATTCAGCTTCTACAGCTCTTTAGTGTTTCGGGTTCTCTGTCCTGTGTTTGTCTTTTATGTTTGCGATTATTTTAGAGCACTTTGGTCAGCCCTGCTGTTTTTTAAAGCACTTTATAAATAAAGTGGTATGGTTAGGTAAGCATTTGAATAAATCAAACCTTTTATTGTATATATTTCAGTTTCATTTTACTCAAAATGATTGTTTCATGTTTACTGAAGGTGAAAAATCATTTTTTGGGAGTTGGCAGCGCAACCCTAAACTGGTTAAGTGGTTAAGAAAATAGATACATTGTTGTTTAACAATGTATTAAATGAACTTGTAAATTAAATGTGACCAAAAAAGGACACTAGAAGGACATATTTGCACAGAGTTGGAACTTTCTGATACATTGCACCCATTGATTCTTTGTGGGCAAGTGCGCTGATCAAACTCCTTTCTGTGTCTTAAGTAATTTTATGTATATTTTTTACCCTTGGAAACCCGTTGGGTTCAATTTTGCCCCCTTGTTTTCCTTGTTAACCCATTGGGTCGGATCTGACCCCATGGGTTCTCCAGGGTTAAATGAACCTTTTGAAAAACCTGGAGGTCCCACTGCAGCACACCAAAGTACCTATAGGGGTAACACTGGGTTAAAAGGTGTTTCCCACTTAAACACATTATAGCAATATTTGTTTTTTACAGCATCCAACAGCTGAATGGTGATAAAAAAGCATCATGTTGTTGACCGAGGCTCATCTCATTACAGTTTTGTCTCAGTATGTGGCAGTACCTGCCCAGCCATCATTTCACCTCTACATGCTAGAGGGAGGAACAGGCTATAGGCCCACAAGTGTGAGTGACAGGTTGTCCTGCAATGGAGAGACCCAACACTTTCACTGGTCCCACCACTCTGGCAAATGCTGACCTTTCACTTCCTGACGCAGCAGTTGTATTTAACACAGCCACGTGCCCCTGGCGACCTCACACACATGCACACAAAAGTGTACACAGACACAGAGTGGCAGCTTTGTGTTGGTTAAAAAGTACTTGTAAAACCTGAACACAGAGAGGAAAAGCAGCCTGTGTGCAGGCATACAGTTAAAATACAGCCTACTAGTGTCTGGGGAAAAACAAAACATGGCATTGCTGTCCAAATGCAGAACCTATTTCACAATGTTTTTATTTACCAACGAGTGAAGAGACACAAAAAAAAGAGTCCCACGAGACATCAACTTTTTCTTTTATTTCAAAATATTCTCCCAACAGGATGAAACTCAGAGAAGCCCAGAGGGTCCAAAGCCAATAGAGCCGTCTAGAACAGAAGCACCACTCATTATTGCTATGTCACTCTGCTGCAGGACAAGGCGTTCAGGGGAGAGAGAAAAAGAAAGAAAGAAAGGAAAGGAAAGGGGGAGGAAACAAAGTCAAGCACAGAGACTCACAAACACATTCACTCCAGTATACACTTACAAAAGGAGCTATGTGAAACACAGTGGTGGTGACTAAAAAGTAAGATTTTTAAAAAGCTGCAGATGTTCTCCATGGTGACTGTGGAACTGGTTTCTTGTGGCTCTGCAACCAAACTGTTGATGTGCTCACCTTAGCCGTAAGGGGGTTACATCATGGTGTGACCATCATCCGATTGCAGGCAAAGTGCCAGTAAGTGATGTATTATAGAGAAGCATAACTACGAATGAAGGCAGAGCCGGTTTATAGATTTAAAAAAAGTCTTGTTTACAGCTCCTTTCGGGCAAAACAAAGAACATCTGCAGCTGTCTGATAAAACCACTTCATTCTGCCTTTCTGCTTCTAAGAGGCATACAGTATAGCAATACAGAATGCTGGGGGGAGGAGGAGAATGGAGCAAAAACAGGAGGTGGGGGAAGGAGTGTGAAGATACGGGAGGTGGGGCTGCTGGTTGTCCATCTCTACTATCACAAGTCTAAAAAAAATTCAGCATGGTACAAAATCGTCAGTAAAAAAAGATGCTTTGCTGCCATGGAGTCAGAGGGGGCGAGTCGATGGACGCGCCCGTGCCTTTACGCCTTCTCCTCGGTCGCCTCTTCTGCTGCTTCAGTTACCTGGAGGTGAAAAACACACATGCAGGTGTAGCCATTATTTACCCCAGGAGACTTAAGAGGGCCAATGAGGTACACGGAGGGGAAAACCCAACCAGTGAGTTGTGGTAACCAACCCTTCAAACAGTGTAGATCCAAACTTATTTTGCATAAAGATCACTTAATGTTTTGGTTTATTGTCTGTAGAGTAAAAGGCTTTCCAGATGAGTTAAATGGATGGTTTTGCTAACAACTACAGGGAGTTATAGGGATGCTTGTCTGTGTAGAAATTCTAGGCTTATAAATATTTTAAAAGTTGAGTTAATGTGTTTTTTCACATCTTTATTAGATAGTTTTCACAGAAGCAGGTAGGACATGCACCAAAGCGGCTCGGGTCAAAAGCAAACCTATTTCGATGCCGCTTTGGCCTGGCAGCCACCCCAACCACTGAGCTAAATTAGCACCTGATTTATTTCACTTTTGTCGTATTGTTTCCTCGTTTTCTGCTGGGGATGCCAATAACTAGTTTCTATTTTAGTCTTCTTGCATTTTGTCATACTGTCTTTAAACATTGAGTGTAACAAAGGATAAACATCAGGTCACATCTTGGGTGTGAGACTGCGCTAAGTCTGTAAAATAAAAGCTATATAAATGTCATATTTTTAAACTCTTACCTAGAAGTCTTGTTTGATTCTTTACATTCAGTCTAGCGCATGTCTTTTTTAGGTCTTTACCAGTCTATCAGCATAGACATTTATGACAACCAATAAATGAAAATTTAAAAAGTAAAGAACAGACGGCAGGAACACGGTTTGCCCAGCTATTAGCACTCTGCAACTGCCAAGTTGGCAACAAATGTTTGGAACCCCACAAACACAACAAACGGCAGAGTTGAGCAGAGTGTAAATGAGTAAATAAATAACTACAGATAAGGGGTGGGTGATATTTCCTCAAAATTTCAAGAAAATCTATAATTATGATATTTCTGACGATAGAGAAAAAACAATACTGAACTACATTTTATTGATGCTTGCAGACAGCTGCGTTTCTACATTTTCCATCCTTTGTATCCAATGAGCCGTTGGCACTGATGGCACACTTCCTAGTTTGAAGTATTTAAACAAGGTGCCTAAGTAGTTTCCTCACCGGACATTTTAAGTATAAAATAATTGCGTAACGCTTTACTTTAACAGTAACTAAAAATAAATTACATAATAAAAATGTAAAATATTTTCTCTATTGTATCTTGAACAAAGCTTTTTATTAGCTTCTTACAGTCCTAGTTTTACCCCTTGTAACCACGTCAGTAATTTCCACCCATCGTTTGCTTTTCCTCTCATACGGAGTGCAGCTAGCATTACTTGCTGGAGTCATTTATGACAAGATAAGCAAGATATTGCGATATGACATTTTTCTACTACATAATAATAATACTACGGGATTATTGTGGATGTTGCTATATGCCGCAGCCCTACAACTCATGACAAATTATATATTTCATGTAAGTTAAAGAAAAAAATATTTTGACTTATTTATCATGATTTTTATCTCAGATTTTTAAATGACCAAATATTGGTATCAGTATCGGTCTTAAAAATACTTTATTGGTCAAGCTGTAATGCTGTACCACTCATTTTTTTTAGACTGCACTTCTTAAATGTAGCCTATTATTGCTTATACTGACAAAAAGTTACAGATGGGAGGAACCAGGGATCAATCTACCAACCTCCCGATCAGTAAACAATCTATTCCAGCACTTGAATGAAGGCCATCTATGAGCTTGATAACACTTTTATGACTATATGCTGAATATTAAGCCAGAAGTAGCAGGTGGTTGGCTAGAAATGAACTACAGTCAGGAGATAGCTTAGCTTAGCATAAAAGCCACATACAGAAATAAAATTAGCCTAGCTCCATCCAAAGTTGTCAAGATTCACCTGAACACACCAACAAGATATTTCTATGGGCATTCAGACTTTAAAGGGGTTTAAACACATCCACTTTGCAGCTTTGAACTTTTCATGACATCTCCCAACAAAGGTGCATATGAGTACACAAACTCACAAACTGCTCTATCCAGGCAGAACATCACCTTAAACCACATGGAGTATTTCTGGTAGGGTAGATGCATCTGAAGCTGACTGTTTCCTGCTGTGGTTTACATGTCAGAAAGAAGAACTGTCAGAAATATCCCAGCCTGATTCTTCCCATTGTTCATGTGTAAAAATGGCTTATGCTAAGCTAAGCCTGGCTTCATTTGTACTGTACAGACACACAGAGAAAGTGCTATCATTTTTTTTTCATAAGGTAAAAGCAACCTATTTATCCAAATGTCAGGCTCTTTCTTTAATGGCTCAATTCATTTCCCCAACAAAACACCACATTTACTCACTTACTGCCAGCAGTGGCTGATTTCTATTTATGGACCTCTCAAACCTCCAGTAAATAAAAGCAGAACTATCAGTACTGCGATTCGACCGAAGTCAACCTTCAATAAGAAATTTACAAAGTCAGGCAGGTCGGTGTTCATGAGTTTCAAGGTAACATATGACCTCATTTGCCAATGAGGAGCTTCAAGCTGTTAGCTCAACTCATCACTCGTTTTTTTCAAGCTAAAATTTTGCAGCGGCACAATTATTTTATCTTACTTACTTTTTACATTCTCTCCTGACTTAGCAATAATTTTGTTGCGATCTCCTCTGAGAGCTAAGTTCAGCACAGCCAGGTTTTCTTTGTGTTAGTTGGTTTGACCAAACCTAACACCCTCAGAGGCAACAGGTACCACAATAGTGGTTAAGAACTTTTGTTGTTAACCCAGGCACATGAGACAAGTCAGTTGACTGAGCACCGATTATAAAACAGTGCAATGCAACATTGTACCAAACAAGACGACAGAGGTGCTGAGAAAAAGGATAATTTTGGGAATCTGTGATCATCACAAGCGCACAGAGCAGAAACATAATCATACCTGGCACTCTCGCTGTGCTGTTGTTGGTTAGAAACGTAACAACTGCGCATCACAGCTCTGATGTTTTTAAATGAATACTTTTAAACAAAGGTCAGGGTACAGTCTGTTCAGTCTGTGCCATAACCTAATGAAGAAGATATGAAAATCACTTTATATCAAAATCAAATTTACTGTATTCATCTAAAACTGTCAATAAACAACCTGCAAATGTACAGATTTGTTATAGTTTTGTATTTTGTATATTACTTTTTATTTTTATTTCATTATGATTTGTAATTTAGCTGAAGTTTCCAGAGTGCATTCTTTTTTTTGTTTCAGTTGAGTTTTTAATGCTTTGTTTTAGTTTAATTTTTGTTAATTAAGTTGGAGTGTCTTAAACTTTTATTATAATTATTTTATGTTTTGACTCACAGTCTTGTGGACATCCAGTAAACATGTTCATCAAAGCCTCGTCAGGTGAGTTGTAATAATATTTTTGCTAAAGAAACAAATACTACATTTAAGAATATTTTCTCTATATTTTTTTGTTAGTTTTCCAACTTTACAAAATTTAGTTTTCATTAGTTTTAATTTTTTTATTTTTTTGGTCAACTAAAATGTTTTTTAACGTCTACATTAGTTTTTATTAGTTATAATCATTTTGGAAATGCAGTTGATCGGTTTTCTCACCTGGGTTCTAGTTGCAGCACAAAGAAGAATTAGCAGCAGGTTAGAGCCAAGCATAAAAACATTCATACATTTTATGCATCACCAGCTGAATGCATGCAAACTCCAGTGACACCGTGACGCCCAGTTTGGGCTGCTGAAGCTGAGCTTCATGGTGGTGTTAGTAAGATATTGCTCAACAGGTTGCATACAAAATATACTCCTCAAGCAGATATTTGTACTGAGAAGTGTACTGAAAATCTGAACGTAAAGGTTATGAGTTTAGAAAAAGCAAACACGGTAATGTTGCCGGGTAAAAAGAAAGTCACTAGTGACACAGAAAACTCTGCCTAAAAGCTAAACATAGCTCGGTAACCCGTTAATCTCACCTCCCACTACACCCCTCTGGTCAATAGTGGAGTCAGCTGTTCGTGAACCAGAGCACATTTCACATTGCAGCTCTGTGAGCAGCAGCTAACCTTCCTGCTAATGGAAAAAGTTGTGTCAGACCCACTTCACTGCACACAGAGAGCAAGTGGGACATCCTTACTTCTTCATTGTGTTTCCCAAACACTCTAATAAACACAGCACTGCAAAGCACAGCGAGTAAATGTTTTCCCTGTTAACGCAGACGCGACTATTAGCAGCACGTTAGTGTCCAAGCACACATACCAAAGACCAGTTAGAGACACTCAACCATACCCTTAACTCTGACTGTCTCACTCTGTCCTCTCACTGACATCATGGAGGGAGCCGTGCTTCTGATGGAAGACACACTGACAGACGGACGAGACACATAGATCTGTGTGTGTGTGTGTGTTTATGTGTGAGGGTATATCCATGTGAGCAAAAACAGACGTGTGGCGTATGTGTTGTAATTAATGTTCGTTTGTACACAAATTGACAGGATAAGGAAATAAAGATTATTATTTTTAGAACTGAATAGAATTTTCCTACATTTTATTTAAAAATTACATCATGTTTTTATTTTCCCCTCCTCATACCTCATTGGCCTTGGTGTCTCCATTCTGGGCAGGACCGTCTTCCTTCTTCCCCTTAGCGCCACCTTTCTTTGCCTTTGCTCCCTTATCATCTACCACCTTCTGCACAGAACAAGTGAGAATAACATAATGTGCATATAATGGTAATTATAGTAACATTTTCTAAATCAGCATTGCAAAAGCTTCACAAGGGCAGCAAAGAGTCAATACACAGCGGTTACAGTTAAAAAAATCAAACTTGACTAAAACCAGGAAAGGACTTCTCTATTTTATATTGTATCTTAAAGGAAATAAGTGGTTCAGAAAATGACCTTTCCAGAGCTTTGGGGTGTTAATGCTTTATCCCCTTCAGGCTACAGCCAGGCCCCTGGAGGACACAAAGGATCTGCCCAAGGATCTCAAGGCAAGTACTAAGATGTCAGCTCAGAGCAAGGCCGTGAAGTAACCAATATAATCTTCCAGAATATACTGGGAGTTAATATAAATAAGGCTAAAGCTAGAGTGATGTGATTCTGTAAAAACTCAGTAACAGTACAGTAATGTACACAAGTCTTGAGCTACCCCCCATTTCTTTGTTTTTAAGTAAAAATAGCCTGAGTTATTGCATACACACTCATCACAGTTAAGCCTGCTTTCAGTTTGTGTTTTGTTTTTCCAATCCAGCAGCTTTGGACAGTCATATAAACTAATACTAAAAGGCAGCCAATTTCCTCAGATTTTTGCAAATTATTACAAATAATTTAGTGTGTGTGTGTGTGTGTGTGTGTGTGTGTGTGTGTGTGTGTGTGTGTGTGTGTAATCTGTTTCACCTTGACGACAGTTTTCTTGGGCTTGGCCTCAGGCTTGGGTGGAGCAGGTCTCTGAAAATTACAATAAATAAATAAATCCTGTCAGAACTGATTCATGGTTCAGAGTTTATGAAGACACGTTGCTCTTATCTATATTATCTAGAGTTCTCTTTTCTCTTTGCTCTTTGAAAGCAGTTTCAGCTACTTTGCTGTACAGAGTTATTCACTGAGATTAACCCAAAGCCTGCTGACTGAAATGTCTGCACTTGATCTTACTGTAGCCCAAATATTGATAATGATTAAGTACTTGCACCATATTTCATAACCCATGGGCTTTCATCATATTCCCATGGGTTTTAAATATCAGATGTGGGCTGACCTAAGACCACTGTGCAATGATTTTATCAGATGGGAGCAAAGTCTGGCCATTTTTTTAGACTGCTGCGTGTGGACCATGTTACCCTGAAGCCACAAGCTACAGTAACGCTGCTGTGATGAAATGAAATCATGTGATTTATTCTCACAATATCTCTGTTTTGCTCAAGAAATGTCTGACACAGCACATGAGATCTAAAATAAAAAGGCTTGAATTAAGACAAACTGTGCTGAAGAGGGTCAATCCTGCTAGTAACAAATTGCCTAAAGATACAATTTAAAAAGTAAAGCTACAGCTAAGAAATTGTTTGCTAGGGTGACTTAGAGTTGAAAATAAAAGGATAAGAGGCACTTTAACTGTAGCTAAACCTCAGTCTACTTGGCGTTAGCTTGAATGAGGCACGCACAGCTTGCAGTGTAGACAAACCAACCTTGTGGCTACACAGACATGGTATCACATACCCTTTAAAAAAAAAAAGAACTTACACCATACATTTTTTTGGTGCAAGTAGTTAATTTGTACCTTTGGACAAGCCTAGGTAGCATAAAGACTGGCTACCAGTCTTTATGCTAAGCTAAGCCAAGCTAACTGCTAGCATATCTAGCATACAGAAATGAGAGATGAAAGTGATAAAGATTTCCCATGAAACCCTTAGCAAGAATTACATAGGCTCAAAATGTCAAACTAATGTTTAAATCAAGGGTGTCAAACTTACAGAGAAGAACCAGCCCCTCAAAAGCTATTAAATGACTGCGTAAAGTGTGAAAGAGGCAGAGAATGCATTAATAACTCAGGTTTTTTTCTCTTTTTTCTTGGTGCTGAGAAACTTTTCAAAGCCAAAAAGTATGTCTAGATGTTGACAGGTTGCTTGAATCAGAAAGAATTAAATTGTGGCCTTTAACGAACAACTGCTATCTACAAATTGTGTTGCACGTGTAATTAGAGGAGACTGACTACATATGCCAAAAAGAGATTTTGTTCAAATGAAAGAATTAAAGAGAATTCAGCCTGTTCTTCGCCAGTTTGATACCCATGATTTCAATAGCACATGCAAATAGACGGGGTAAAAAGACCCAGCACCGGTGGATTTAACATGCAAAGTACGCACACACAAACACAATGACTGCACGGCAGGGCTGCTAGACCACATAAAAATAACACTATATTTCAGATAACATTGTTTTAAAATGCCATTCACAATCAATAGCTTAATACAAATTAGGCATAACGTCATCAAGGAAAATACTTATTTTCATCCACATGATTACAGAATTCATAACACCACTGGTGGCAGTCATGCAGCCCTGAACATCAACAAGTTGTGCAACATACAACCCTGAGAATGGGCAAAGACAACAGACAGTAGACATGCATACCAAGCCAGGAGCCAGTCCTCTGCGAGCACATTTATGGAGCTCTTTTAATTGGCGATTGCCTTGATGAAATCCATAAAGGTCGAGAGGACTTTACTCAGAGCCTTGGTAATGTGACATGTTTTAGCCCGGCGGGATGAGGGGTTGACACTGAGAGGAAAGAGTGGACAGTGACAGAGGTGAAGACAGAGAGAGGGGAGAGTGAAACTTACCGCTGACAATCTCTCTGACCTTCTGGTGGGCTACCGGAGCAACAAATGATCAACAAGAGAGAGAAAGCGAGGGAGAGACAGTGACAGAGAGAGAGAGAAAGAGATATCAGTTGTACCTTTGCCAACTGCTCTCGAGACGATCTACTTGGTGACTGTTACACGTGTCCTAATCATTAACTCCTCATGTGAGTATTCTTTCACTCATACACACTCCACACAGCACGCGGAAACACTGCCACGCACACACACACAGCGCACACACTCACAAAGCGTCTACCTGTTTTGTGACTTTGGGGGCCTCCTTGCCCTCAGGAGCCTCTGGGGACTACAGGAAATAAAATGAACATATAAAAAAAGTTCAAATTTAATTTTTCTCATGCACAAGTGAATTATCTCTGTGAACCAAAACGGATTCCAGGATGTCTTAATGGAAATATCACTTACTACTCATGGTATAACACATCTGTAACAATAGCTGAAACAATTAGCATGTTTTGATTACTTACAAAAAAATAATCCTCAGATATTATTTACATCATAATATTTGAGGATTTTATGATGGAGGAGGGTTTTTCTCATTCTGGCCGAATGACAAGAAGAATGTAATCACAATTAAATTTAATCCTTCTTGAGAAAAGGATTCAAATAATTTCCCCCAGAAATCAATGGTCTTAAAAAATAATAAAAACCACTGTTTAATGTTTCACATAATCAAAGCACAATTTCCATCACACGTGACCAAAATTCTCCACAGATGCAAATCACATTATGTGATGATGATATATGATGATGCCACAATCTCTCTGGTTAATTCCATTTTTTTAATGGAGGCATCTTGCTTACGTGCAAAAAAAAAAAGAAAAAAAAAGAATAATGGACCATAAACATCGATTCACTCGGGGGAGGGCGCTTATGAACTAACAACACGGGCGTCATTTGTTGCTCCTAATGGACACCGTATTTCCCGGCTTCAGGTAGGCAGGGACGGCGCACGCGAGAAGCGCGCCCACTCCCACCATGAAAAAAAAACCCGAAAAAAAATATTGGTTTAGCTCGCAGGTTGACATTCACATTATTTGCATCATTTGCATGTGGCCGACCTCCGCCCCTAGAGGCCCCCCATTCTCTGTCCTCAAAGGCGAATCTGCGAGGACAATAGCCGTTTTTTTAGGTGACAGAAAAGCCAATTTCCATGTATGCGCTGATACAATGCACAGGAGCTTGTCGTGCAGTCCTGTTCAGATAAGAGCCACGGCCTCTTTTCACACAGCGGCGATTGTCCCTGATCCTTCCCCCCCTTTATTCCTTTCTCTTCATGGGGCTAAGGGCTCGTTCATTCTGCGTGGCGCCTGCCATATTCATCACCACCCGGAGAACCAAAATTAGACAGGGAGGCGGAGGGCTTTTATTTTATTTGTTTATTTAATATTACATATATCACGCATTATTAGGAATCTACAAGTCTTCTATATGAGTGAAATGCGCCCAGAAGAATGATCACAGCGCACGTCTCCAACAGGATTTACGCGTCCATCCATCCAGCGGCTCTAACATTCACCGGTGCGCACTGTGGACAGGGAAGTGGCAGGGGGGGGGGAAACGACCACAAGAACGGCCATTGGGATGAACACGAGGATTTATAATGAAAAAAGCCCCAAAATGTCGCATATAAAATATCCGTTATTAATAAGTGGGTGTTTAACGCCTACGCGTGAAAGGCTGCAGTCGAAAAGACGTTTCCTCAAACTTTGGCATCACCTCACCTGCCTCGACGTCGCCACAAAATATTATTCCCATTTTTCCTCGATTGCATGAGCTCGAAAAAACTACAGTGAAGTGTGCTGCACGCAGGGACGACACTCACCTTTCTCTTCGGCATTTTATGCGTCAATAATTCTCCACCGAGCAAAATAAAGGTCAAAGCCAAAGGGCCAAGATAGGTGAATTTGAACTACCTCGAAATACGGGATCAATATCTAAGCACCTTCGATAATATGTTGATTATATGCACTCCCCCAAAACTTACACCTTCCGCAGCCATTGGGCAGAGAAGTCAAAATCCACTTCTGTGCTGACTCCCGATTGGATCGTCTCGTCTCTATGTAAATAAGAGGGTCGCGGGCATTGGCCGAAATTTACCAGAGTCTCCCAACGATTGGCTACGCGCTCTTTGTGCGCAGATCCCTCCCGGTGAATCTGGGTAATGTAGGATGGGATAGAGAGAATGTTGTAAATAAAATACAAAGGACCAGAAAAAATGGGCACAATGGCACAATGTCAGCCACAGGCGAGATCCAGAAAAGCTGGAAGGTACTGTGTCTTGTAGGGGTTTCCCTGCTACAGAGAACTAGAGAAATCATACACAACGTTTCTGCAAAAAGGTTGTCACATTCCCTTCAGGAACGTGATGGTCTGTAAAACGATGCAATAGGGGGGGGGGGGGGTGTACCGTGTTAGATTTCAGCGTGTCAGACAGGGTTACGAATATTGTGCACAAGTGCTTTTTTTGCATTTGTATTTGCATCCTAGAAATAAAGTCAGAATTAAATCAAGTTGTAGATCACGAAACCAAATCTGTCATTCATGTGCACAGTACAATTTTTAACATAACATACCTTTGAATTTAATTACCTCTTGGGAAGTTTTAGGACCCCTGTAGTCAGGCAAAGGATTCACTTGTAATCCCAGCTTTCCATCTAGGCAGCCTTGGTTGCCCCAAGTGAACTCAGATGACCCAAAACTGCCCTCCTGAGAAGCCAAATTGCGCACTCATCATGACCCGAAGGACAAAATGAACCCAAGGTAGATATTAGGTATAACAGTGTTACTGACAGTGGAGGCACCATCAAGAATACAACTGTGTTCAGAATTTCAATTTCATTTATATATTTATACATTTCTATAGCACCAAATCACAATGACAGTTTCCTTATAATGCTTTATATTGTAAGATAAAGACTCTACATTAATACAGATAAATCCCCATAATAAGACGACCAAGAGCCTTGGTGACAGTGGGAAGGAAAAACCCCTTTTTAACAGGAAGAATCTCCTTTGCTTGATGGATGAATGGCCTTTATAAAAACTACACATTTTGTGCAACTACATGCAGATGATTTGAACACAGAGAAAAACATTTTAAAAATTCTGTAGAAATTATTTATTAATTGTCATTAGACTTTTTTTACTAGTGGTGGCTTATAATATATTTATTTATTCTAGGAGCCATGACACTTTGTTCTTTTGCCTGCTTTCTTCTTATGGACAAAATAAACCAGAATGACAAACACCTATCGCCTGGAATGAACTTCTTTTTGATGCATGCATCACATCCTCTTAGTACATCAGCAAGTACTGGAAAAAAATGCCATTCACATTTTCTAAGAGGCCAAGGTGCTACCTTCAAGCAGCTCAAATAAAGAAGAAAAAACATTTCCTTCAACCATCCAGTCAAAGAAGTCAACCAAATACTCAGGATAGAAGGTGTCAGTTCATTTCTTTTCGCTAACTTTCTGTTTCTACTCCAAATCTGAGCTAAATCTCGTGATGTTCTAAATTACACCGCTACAAGGAGTTTAATTTTCTATTAAAGCTTTAAAACAGGCGTTTAACTGTTTAGTGCTCCCATGAGTAGGTATAGTCAATTTTGAACTTAGAAACAATAAACATCCAGAACTTACAAAGCAACTGTTTTCAGCATATTCTACAATATACAAATGCACATATTGCACTGTTTTGACACACAATAGCCATAAAAAAAACTGCACAGAAATCAACAAAAGGCACATTCTTGTTCAACATAACAACAGACAGAGAAACGCACAGAGAAACCAGCTTTACAATAGGCAGAGCTTTCCTGCCCTAAACAAGCCAACAAACAAAACCCCTGATTTCCACACAGGTATGAACGCACAACCGCTGTAGAAGCCAACCAACCCAGAACCAGCTTGATGGGAGCTGCAGTGTTCCCACATAGATTGACACAGTCAGCTCAACGGAAGAAAAGAAAATCACAATGGGGCGCATCTACAAGCTTATATATACAGACAGAGAGTTTTAAAAAAAATCAAGGAAAAACCTGAACCCACAAGGCCACGGGGTGAAAGATGACACAAGTGTGAAAACTGTCTGAATCATCAGTATGCTGCACAGGCTTGTACGGGCACCATTTGAACTGTTTCCAATAATCTGCCACTGATGTGAACGCAAAAGATGCAAAGCAAATACATTGCCTAAAAGGTTAAATTAATAGAATGGAACCATATCTGTGTAAGTTAACGTAAAGAGAGAGAGTTGTGTTCACAGCAGGCCAGTGAGATTTTGCAAATTTTGTGTTTGGTTCACTTCAGCCAATACAAAATAGTTTAGGTTTTAAAGTTTACCGTGTTTAATGAGTTTCACTTCTGCTTAAATATCCAGTCAGTGGGGCAAACATGGTTACTTTGTTTCTCTTTTTTATTCATTGAATCACTGATTTCTTATCGCCTTACTTCCTGGTGAATTCTTTCACCTCTGCTGGTCAAAATGAATCTATGTTCCACACCGAACTTTTGAAAATGCCCTATATACACTAAATCATGCGTATCATGGATGTTTTCTCCAGGTACTCCAGCTTCCTCACAAAGACAGCCTGGAGACCTGTCCATGTTGTATCCTGCCTTTGACACTATGACAGCTGTGATAGGCTCCAGACCCCTGTGCCCCTGAATTGGGTAAATGGAACAAAATGGATAGATAGGCTGTATTAAAAGGAAAGATTAGGCCTTTAGAGCATGCTAACATCTCTATAAGGCTGTTCAAAGAGATGGACAACTTATTAATGTATCAGGCTAAGTGCCTATAGTCTGATAAAATAATGTTCACATGTTTAACAAATATAATGTTTATTCATAGTCTGTATCTAAAAGATGGAAATTGAAAACATGGCGTCACCCGTTGGTCTGAAAGTCTTGCTTTGTAAATCTGAAGCTGAGCATTTATCGCCAACCCACCTTTTTTGAAAACAGACATTGTGAGTGAGGCGTTGATCTAACTGACAAACTGAGGACAGCTCACGTTTATAAGTTAGCGACATGCAATAAAAGCCTAACAGCCCCAGTTTGTCACCCCTTCTTGTAATGATGGAGAGATAATGTACAAAACCAACATGATTGTTTTATTTCATAAGACTTTAAGCTTGAAACTGGGAACATAAACTTATTGCAAAATGTTTAACCGAGGTCATGGTTTATGGCAGCACAGGGTCATTTGCCATAAGTACAGCGCCTCTGGGTGACATAATGAACACTCAAAAGTTGGTATAGACATTAAACACAAGTGATATTAGTATTGCTCTGATAAATTTAAATCAAGCAGAACCAAGCTCATTCCTTTTAAGCTATATTAAGTCATAATAGAGGACATGTTCAGCCTGATCTTTAGTTTGTTTGATGGGGGTGGAACAGTGGTTAACATTGTTTTCTCATAGCAAGAAGGCTTGAATGGCTTGAAAGGCTTAGTTCCCTGCTGGGGCCTTTCTGTGTGAAGTTTGCGTGTTCTTCCTGTGCCTGTGTGGGCTCCCTCCAGGTACTGTAGCTTCCTCACATAGTCCAAACTGGCCATAGGTGTGAATGTGGGCAGAAAAGATTGTATGTTTCTCCATTAGCCCTGTGATGGCTCCAGGGGTCTAGATATTAAGACTGTTTGTCATTGTGACCGTAACATCTTTGTCTGCGCTCGCTGATAAAATATCTAAGATCTACAGCTGGATGACAAGTTAAAGTATAAATCAGCACAAATATTTAACCTCATATGGAACCATTGTCCTTTCTTTTCCTGCAATTTGTCCCCTGCGTTTCCTCCTGCTTCAGCCCACTTTGAATGAGAACTAGAAAAGAAGGAGAATCCACGCCTGCACAGGGAAAACATGCAAACTCCCCACAGAAAGGCCTCGGCTTTTCCAAGAGCTGTCTTGCTGTGAGCAGCCGTGTAAACAACTTCCCCACTATACCACCCCTGGGAACATTAGACAACAAAAGCTGAACTTTATGTACCCATGAAGCTTTTAATCATCCCACATGATGATAAAAGAAAAAAAGGAAGTCTTCCACTTTTTCTTAAATTCCAGTTTCTTTGGGCTGTGCTCAGGGCTAAATATCAAATTATGCTTGGTCAGTTAAGAAGGTCAGTGTGTTCCTTTTATACAAATAAAGGCACAGTTTATCAAATTAATACAATATGGGTTAACGTTACCCCCCACACTCCTCTGACAGATTAAACACACCGTGTCTGTGTCTGATTAAAATTTGGGTTTCCATATTCATTGTACTATTCCAAATGAGAAGGGAAACCGAATGACTCGCTGAAGCAGCACACATCAGTAAAAGAGCCGAGGCTGCCTCTGCAGACACGGAAGTGCTCGTCAGCAAGTCAGAAATAGTCTCGCTCTCACCACGCAGTGACATTATTGAGATGCCATATTTCGTTGTAGAGAATGTGAAGAAAGCCAGACCCAGGCCCAAATACACCCGCATGTAGGCAGGACGTGACTGACACCTTGTGGACAATCTTTTGCATGATTATTATAGATGAATACTGAATTACAGAGGATTGAAAGTCATTTTAATATGCGCACCGCATACAAGCCCAATTCCATCCACTGAAACCTTTTTCTAATAATCTCTGTAATAATAGCAAAGAAACTCATCATATTTCTTTTTCCCACTCTGTTCTTCTGCAAGGAAATTTAATAAGCACATTCTGAAAATATTCACAATTAATAAGCTATCTGCTTTTTAAAATGATGATCAGGAACCTAAGATCTCATATCTGATATGTGTCACGGACTCTAGTGTAAGTCCAAGGACAGCAACACAGACTCCTTACGCTTAAACTGTAACACATGAAGCCATAAAGAAAACAGAAAACGCAATGAAAGTTGAACATGAAGCACTTTCATTAATTCATACAAAATTTGCAGTAAATAAAAAATAAAATAAAATAAAATAAAAAGGTGTTATATGGCAGTATGGCATGCCAGGGTGCCTGTCAGGTAGAGAGGCTCTAAGATCAATGAAGATTCAGATCTCAGACTCTCAGATGAAAGTAAAACTCACTGCTCCTCACTGCTCACAGATGCTTCATCTCTGTTCATGTTTCACATTTTGCAAAGCCCTCCAGTGGGTCGAATTGGATCGTTTGTTCAGCCAGGTCTGGCTCCCTGGCCTTATGTTTAACATCTCTGCCCTATTTCACGTTTCAGCATTAGTATATTATTCAAGGAAACTGCTGAGGGGTTTAAAGCAGCAATACATTTTAATATAACTATTTCCAACGCAGCGTTTTATTATTTATGTGACACATTTA